AGGTGTAAGATACGCATTTGGATTGTTAGCACTTGGTTGTCGCTCTCTGGCAGCCCACAAAGTTCGTGTAGTCTCTTCTGTGCTATAAAATTCGGTATGAGACAGTGACGTAAGCAGCGTGTGAGAAAGTGGATTGACTGTCGGACTGATACGATCTTCTGTCTCAGTGACAGCGCTTCTTTGACTAGTCGATGGTATTTGGCTGGCACGTTGCGAATTAGTTGGAATGTTCGACGTTCAATAAATCTCGGCATATTGATTATGTTATTGATAAACTTCTTTAGCCACGCACGAGATTGTTAAGAATTTTTTATTGGCTGACGTTTCGGCAAACTCGCCTTCTTCAGAGCCTAAATAGGTGAAAACGAAATGCAATTTATTCGATATTCGCAAAGTTTACCTACACTGGCGACTTAAAAACATAATACGGGTGCAGCACATCGGATTAGTTTGTGGCTACAAATTCACCAAATTCATAAAGGTGGCAGCAGACAGATTTTTTCCTATAAGCTGTTACAAAGCTCAAACCTGATGAATTCTTTGATTTTTATCGGGGTTGTGTCACCAAGGACGATTATAAATGTAAAAACATGGGAGTTTGGGGTTTTCTGTCCTGCCAGTGGGGTGCGAGAAATGTTTGAGTAGTAGCTTGAGACACAACTGTGACCGCTCAAACATCCTGAGCAAAATTGCTGGAAGCCATTTGAGAGAATTTTTAGAAGTTCTGTGATTTTCTTGAAAGACAATGTGGATAGGACATGCTTCTGTATCGATTGTATCGGTCAAATGTCAGCTTACCTAAACGCTGCTAGTTTCAACACTGACGCTTTCTCTTGAAAAATATCCTTAAAATGTTTGTTCAAATTTGAAGTTTTGTTGTTGTCGGAGCGCAATTGCGAAACATCTGTATAAGTTCTATCATTGGCGAAACTTACTATTGCATAAGGGCAAAGTATGGAAAACAAAAATGGTTGCAAGGAGAAACAGGATTTTGGAATTTTGTCTGCAGACGTGTGGACAACAGTTAAAGGAAGCTATAGAATTGACAAGTTGTATAACCTACAGTGACAAAATGGATGGTAAACACAGTTTAAGCCTTCACATGGGCCTGAGGGTTATCGTTTCTATCTTCAGCAAAAGCTATTGTTTGAAGTTTCTGTCGCAGTCCTTCTTGTGTCAAGCACATTCTTCACTCTTTATTCTTCGCTCAGTAAAATTGGCGTTAATCAGTTTTTTCTTCCTGATTTCCCGTAATTTAACGGATCATCTGCTTCCGCATATACAATGATTGAAGCAACTTCTTTTTTTTTAATCTTAGTTGTGTTTAGCGCAATGGAATCAGTGAGTCAGTCAGCTGAGATGACTAATGACACTATAAAAACTAGTTATTGAGCGATGTGAAGAAAGACTAATCGTTTATCAAAAACTGCGTCTCCTTACTTCCTCCAATCTATGCTCAAGGTAGGGTCAATTACCACGTATATTGTAGAGAATTCATCGATTTAAGTGAAATTTGCATGATAAAACTGCTGTAGCCTCTTTTCAGATATGGAACGAAACGAGATTATAAAACTTTTTTCGATAGTTGAATAAACAACTGATTGCTTCAAAAAGTTTATAGTGGATTAGACGCATCCAAAGTATCTTCTATCTGATTGCATCACATTGTTACGTGTTATAACTGTTGCAATGAAGAATATCCTTTCCCATCAATCCACTACTAATCTGCCTATGCTTCAGAAAATTCACATATATATTTCTTTTGTCATCAAGTAGAGTTTCAAGCGTATTTTGTTAATAAAGGGGAACATCATAATTTGGCCCAAAATCGAATCAATGATTTGCACAACTCTACAGGCTCTGAATATGCTTCTATGCTCTATCCTTTTTTCTTCTTCTTCATCTCTAGGCCACCAAATTCTTCAATACGAGTTAAGAAAGCAAGTTTCTCTACTGCTAAAGTACCGTATAGACGTAGCAAATGGAAGAAGATCATAAGAATGAACTTGAAGTTTCAGTTTAGTGTCTCGCAATTAAAAAGATCGAGAACATATCATTTTTAGTTCAAAGCTCAGCATATTGCTACTGTCCCTGAGTACCTGCACCGTCATCTTTTCAACAGTGATGTTCCATCCACTTCAACAACTCCTTCATTCCATATCGAACTGCCTGCACTTAAATCATGTTCTCTACAGGAGCATTTCAGGTTAGTGGTTGCATGGTAGAGTGAATGTTCAAAGAAATAATTTGCAGAATAACTGCAGAGGAGTTGACTCAAAAGTATAGGAACTTTCTAAATGCAGCGGCTTCACTCCCTATGCAGTTTTCAAAACCTGCTCATTGGAGATTTGAAGCAGGGTGGACGAGATACGCGCATGACGGTTTAGTAGAAAAGGTGAGTGCTTGTAATAGTTGATATTTTGAAAGTGGGTTTTTAACGGAAAGAACTTTAAAATGGTAAATAAGAGAAATTTCTCATTTTTCAGAGCAAAACTACATTCTGTACTTAGCAAAAATTTTCTTGCAGAATCCCCAAAGTGTAATAAGAATGGTTGTATGAACAATTATTCATTTGTTGTTAAAGCTAAGTTGTCTATGACGAAGTAGTCGCATAATCCTGACATGCCACAGAACATAGCTTATAAGCTTTATCTTGTAGACATTGACGTATAGCAAGAATTTGCTGTAACATAGAAAACGCTTCTGGTAGAAGGTAGAACTAGAGGTTGTTTTTTTGTTAACATTTTTGTCGCATTGCTTGGGATGTAGACCCTTTATTTTATGTTCACTGAGTCAGTCATCATTTCAGCCCTCATCTGGTCATTTTACTGAACTTGTTGTTATTGTAAAGAAATTAACGACAGCGATCATTTCATTTTCATCCACGAGAGACCAGACGTGCTTTTATGTATCACATCCATTCGTCCAAATGTAGTCATTACGAGTTGTCTGATACGCTGAGTCAAAAAACATGACCATTTTTACCGTCATACAGTAGAGTCAGGTAAAAAGTGTGAAGTTACTGCAAAACTCGGTGTTTTGCAAAACTTTCGAACACACGTGTGGATAGGTTGATAAAAAAATAGCAATATCACCTCCTTCTGCGCGATGCCGAACTAGAAGTTACACTGAGCGAAAATGAGACAAAACATGCATTACAGTTATCTTCGATACCTATTTAGAATGTGTTTATCTTTAATACAAATATAGTGAACTGTGCTAAAAAAGTATCAAGACAAGTCTTTTTTGTATGACTTTATGAACGATAGCTCTATTTGACAGCGGTGGTGGGTGCAAGAGCGTCTAACTTTTGCAATGCTTACCGTGCTTTTAACATAACATCGTCATTATCATTAGAATTAAGGCCATATACTGATAATTCTTTACTGAACAATGTTAGATATTTTTTGAAAGGTTTAGATTTAGCTATGTATGCTAATTTGATTTAAAAACAAAGAAAATTTTAAATGCGGAAGATACAAAACATCTTTTACAAAACTAATTAAGT